GAGCAACGACAGCGGCGAGCAGCGGGAGCGGGAGCAGGAGCGGCGAGCAGCGGGAGGCGCGAGCGACGACAAAGGCAGCGTTTGTGAGCAGCGGCAGCGGGAGCAGGAGCGGCGAGCAACGGGAGGCGCGAGCGGCAACAGAGGCAGCGTTTGCGAGCAGCGAGATCGGGATCGGGAGCGACAACGGCGAGGGTTAGGGTTGGGTTCTCACTTATATCGATTTTAGTAATCGAACCAACTAACCATCAGAGACCGAACCAGGACTGAACCAGACCTAAAATCCTGGTTCGGTCACCTTGGTTAACCCAGGCGCTCGCCCGAAGCGCCCAGCGCCTGGGCTCGGGCGAGCGCCCAGGCGGCGCCTGTTTGAAGCGCGCCGCCTGGGAGATTAGCGAGGCGCTCGGGCCTCACCTCGCCTCGCCCGAGCGCCTAGGCGAGCGCCCGAGCGCCTTTTTAAATCACTGTACATAAGAACTTCTTAAATAGATGAGTATAAGAAAACATACTAATATCAAGCATAGTTCACAGATAAAATTCTTTGGTGCCACAATGTAATTTAAAATGCCCTGAAGAACAGTAAAAATAACACAACACAGACAATGAAAGCTCTTATAAAAAACAAAACAACTTGGATTGAACATTATTTTTTTATATTAGTCAAAATTGTTTTGATGCACTGGTACCAGAAAGTAATTTTAAATGCCTTGAAGAAAAAAAACAACACAGGACATGAGAGCTATTATCACTTGGAAAGAAACTCAGATTTGGCATTATTATTTCTATTTGTCAAAGTTGTTACATAACTGCCTTATTTTTTAAACATAAATCATGGCATTAAGTAGTATACGTAGAATAAAGTACCTGAATGGGAGTTAAAACAGGAACCCGAACAGCCAGCGCCCAACGCAGTTCACGAATGTCACGTAATCGCTTCCAGTCAGCCATACCGGAAGCCCAGCATTTGGTTGTCCAATCAATAGTTTTCTTAGACCAACACCTTCTGATTGCATCTTTTTCCATTGGTCCAACTTGTGTACCATCCTTGTCAATGAACATCCATTCCTTTAAAGGCTCCATAAAAGCAGTAGCTGCTATTAGATTAGACTGCAATGGAATAGAAGTCCTCTCAGAGGCTTCATGGGCTGCAGTTAGAAGATCAACAGCTAAAACACAGCCACCAACCAAGACACAGGCTTCAACATTTGATAAATCTTTCATTAAAACCTGCAGTATAAGTTAAAAATTGGTCTAAGATGTATAGCACGAGATTATAAAAGCAACCAAACACACAATTAGGACAATGGACAATTTGCACAATCAAAAGAAAGTCATTCAATATCAATAACTTCCACGACACTAGTAATAAAGTACAAAGAGCAACACAGCATGATATTGAAAAATATGCTGCTTATTTAAGTACAATGTTAGTAAGTTTATTTTCTTCAAATAAATTAAGGAAACACAGATGTTTGCTTACAGAAATAAACACACTGTGTACAACTAAAATGTAAAACAGGGACTAAAAAGAGACCAAATATGAGATTTTACAAAAGCTGAAGCAAAAAACAAATTAAATAAAATTATGACAAGAAAATATAACAGACAATTTTTTTATTTCCACCTACTCTCTTTCAGTGAAACGTTAAGTAAAGAGTTGCTGATATAACTGCAAGTCCAGTAGTCTACTAAACCTTCATTAGTGTAGACTGAACACAATATGGTTACATAGTTGCTGACACAGGGGAAGTTTAGTGGTGTAATAAATTAACATAGGCCCCTCTAAATATCATATCCCCAATAATCCATGAGTTTCCTTCATTGAGAAATCTCCATTTAAAGTCTACTTGCTCACAAGTCACCAATAAATTCTACCACTATAGAAGGATACATAGTGCCAGACAATCTACAATTGTACTTGTTTAAGTTCCAACTAGATTTAGGGAAATATTTTTTTACCAAAATTTAACTGACTGGATAGATAAAGAAAGAGTCGATCAAAATCCATTCTCGTCTTTTAAGATACCTCAAAATGATGCAAACTATTCCTCAATTTTCTGTGTGAAAATGAAACTCCAAACTTGCCACTTCTCCAATGATAATTTTTTATTGATATAAATCCCCAATAATTTTGATTGATATAAAAATTATGATTTTTGTAAGTTCTAACTATGATCTTGTTATCAAGAAATCTTTATGGACAAACACTTGGCATCAAATTATTGCTGGGCTGTATATTTCACATATACTGAATAATGCTAGTCACAAGCATGTGGAAACTGAACTCGCCACAGATGACTACAGAGTAATCATCAGTCTTCAATATAAGATGAATATAAATAGATTATGGTTATACTAATACTGCTATGTTGACTTCAAGGAGAATGAATAATTAACCACAATAAGCTATAGAAAAAAAATACCTCCCACCACTCTATAAGTTCACTATCATTAGAAGTTAATGGAGCTTGCACATCATTTTCACTTAAAGTTCAAATGTTCAATCACATTTCAGGCATGTTTTCATCAACCTTACCATCCAAACTCAATTGAACAAGCCCAGATTACTTGACATGATTAAATGCCCCTCTTCATCCAAACCCTTCTTAAGGTTCCACGGCTCCAACTTATCACTTGAGAATAGAATAAAATGTGCAAACGATAACTTACCATGAATGACCCTCATATTTCTGAACTAAAATGCAATTTGTCATTTCTCCATGAAGAACATGATTGATGATGGGAATCTTATCATATTCATTTTAACATATTCAACATCTTATATACAACATTAGTGATTCAAATTACACACAAGTGATTTAAAAGCTTAATTCAACAAAAGGAAATTCATAAATACACTACATAAACAAATGAATAATTTTCAAGTGTCCAAAAGCAAGTATGTAATAAAGATAGAAGATGTTTGAGGCCCTAAATAAACAAATAAAAATCATAATTTAATAACAGAAGATCGAATATACTAGATGACTAGGTCATGGTAAACAATAGGTTAGACAAATGAACTTTCAAAGAAATTCTTGACAAGTCCTAAATCATAAAAGAACCTTAGCGACTAGAAAATGCTTACTGCTATAGTCACGATACAGCTAAGATGAATGGCAGAATAAATTTGCAGATGCTGTCTATATGCATTGTCTTATTTCTTTGCTCAAAACACCTTCTCAATATCATTCAACTATAAAAGACACTTTCAACCTCTTGCTTCAATATACCCATTAATTTTTTAAAGGTACATGCAGTCACCCTCAACAATTGTTCTTTCATGGCAGGGGAGAGTATGGCCCGGAATTGTCTCATTACAAACAATAAATTGACCTAAGCATGGTGTTTAGAGATACCTTTTTAGCGCGATGAATGCCATCCTATGTTTAACTGACAGGGCAATCCTTGGTCACCCTCGAACTAATTGGACACCTAAAACAATCAGATAAAAGATGGAATAACATTTGTTCACATAGAAAACCTAGACATTTTTCTACGGAAACTAATTCACCTCCCTTTACACCCTTTCTTATACCATAGATCTTGACCTTATCAGCTAATACCACTAGAGAGACTAGTTGATATGTTAAAGCAACTTTCTTTTGCCAAGGATTCTACTACAAGGCAATTTGATCTGTCCAAACATGCCAACTATTTAGGGATGCCTCAGAAATAGAGAGTATCTACCATCTGTAGCGAGAAGGTTTTTGCACCATTGTAACACAAATTTTGTCGACTAGAGGCAGAAGATTAAATTAAGAAACTGATGAGAACTGCTATATTATCATCCCACATAAAGTCCACAAAAACACAACTACCATGCTTTGTTTCTAGAGGCTACCATGATTCTGAATATCACAATGCACCTTCTGAGTCACTCAAGAGTTTCTATAAACATTCTAGAATCTATGCATTCACAAAGAAAGACAAATAGACCAGGACCAAATTTAGTAATACATTGGCACAATTATATATTCTTGAGCTAATGAAGCGACCTTTAAAAGAAGAAGCAGGCGGTGCCTCAATGCTCGATCATCTGTTCTATCCAACAAAACAGTAATATGAGCTGTACCATCAAAAGGGCCGATGGTTTTATAATGCTGTTCATATACAATGGTCATTGCCCTTGAACATAGCTCCCTTACAGCAGAGCCTCCACCTCCACCAAAACCATCTAGTCTTCCCATATCACACCAGTCATCAGATGAACCCAACTCATCGGGAATGGCACCATCGACAGTAAGCCCTATGTCTGCATCACACAAGAAACGGTGATATAATGCTCTGAAGAAAGCAACAGGGTCCCGTAGTGGGAAGTCCTGTGCCCCACAACTGCTTCCACTTTCAAGCAGCAACCGCAGATAATACTGCCCTACACAGACTTCTTTTGATAAGCTGGCATAGCTCACTAAAAATTCTGCATAGTTCCAAGAAATCTTAGGTGCACTATCTTGCACATTATTAACTTCAAGTATACCACCTTCAGGAAGAATGTCTTCTGTTCGCTCCTTTTCAACATCCAGCTTATGAACTTCTGCTTGTAAAGCCTCTCTAAGCTCTTGCCTGGTGCGCTCATTCCAAATTAGATCAGCACGGTTGTGATCTAGCTCAAACGCTCTCCAAAATCCATGCCAATTACATAGCAACCTACCAGATCCCACAGGGGTATTCTCTACAATGACCTGAGCAGGGGCAGGGAAGTCAGAATCCATGGAACCAACAAAGTTAACAGCAGCGTCAACAGAAGCAGAAGCATTTGGATCCAGTTTTTGCGACATTTGATGAAAATTATCAGAAATAACAACTCCTGAACCAGAATTTTGTGGAAATGCATAGGAAGGTTCGCTGATCTGGCTTGCACCTGGATGAGCAAAAGATGAAACCAAATACTGCCCAAAGTTCGACTCTTGGAGAGGTTTCAGGTCACTTTGTGCCCCTAGGAAGGCACTGGGAGTCTGTTTTGCCAAATCACCATCTTGAACATTTTGTAGAGGACTCAACCCAAGTTCTTGAGAAGCAATACTTCTTCCAAAACGGCCTTTCCTCTGCTGAAGTATGTGTCTCTGTCTTCGCCTAGTTAATAGGACTTCTTCATTTAATTGGTTCTGATCTTCTGAAGCAGCATCTATTCTCGTGTGCAAATAAGCAACAAGGCCAGGAGGAAGAACTCTTGAAAGCAAATCAAGAGCAGGTTGATAAGAATCAGCCCAAAGAGCTACGAGTTGTCGACTAACATCACGGCGCTCCCCAGCAGGAAGGAAAAAAGCATGCAGCAAATGTCTCAAGAGAGCACCATCTCTTAAGGCAGCATCACGCATAGATTCCGCTGCAATTGCATCCTCCTCTGCTATAGTCCGCATGATAACAGCCACTGTCTCTCTCACACTTTCAGCAGGATGACCAAATAAAGCAAACAAGTGTCGGCGCAAACCAGCAACTTGGCGTAGCAACTCAACAAAAGTAGTATGTTGAGTCGTTTCACCTTGAGGTTCACAAAGCATAGCTTCAAGTACTTCCACAACTGACATTGACAATAATGGAGACACAGATGCCGGTTTTAACCTATTTACAAGGATAGTAACATAATTCTGATGTGCAAATAGTACAGACTTGGTGTGCATATATGTGGCATGTGTCTCCCCTTTCGAGTCAACCAGTATACTAGAATCACCAGGACCACCACCAATAAGCATAGAAACTAACCCAGCCGCTTCAGCTGCTACACCTTCTGATCCATTTCTTAGTAACCCCATTATTCTCCCAACAGCAGCAGGAAATGACATAACATGGGATGCTGCAGATTTTGATGCAAGCAACCTACGTAAACATGCAATGAACCCAATGACTGTTGCTGCTGCTTTGGGTGATGGAGGGGGAGGGGGAGGAGCATCCGGAGGAAGGTTAGGTGTTGCTGGAAGCATTGTGATCAAAGCCATTAAGACTACCTCAGGCACTTCGAGATTAGGAGGTACTCCACCATAGGGTACGCAAGCATTAAACTCCCTTATTCTACGCCACAACTTTGCTCTTGAACCAGGGACTGAGCCCCCTTCAGCGACAGCATCTTTGGCAGCTGCAGCTAAATGTTTCAAATGCATGGATGCAGTTTCCACATCAACAACAGGATGCTGCTGACTAGGACTAAGCTGATGTTTATGAGAACAAACACTTCCACAAGGAGGATCTATGCGATGACCAGGCATGGTCAGTCTTGGCAATAAGGGAACAGGGCTCTGGCTCTGCATTATGAAAACAGAAAATTTATGTAACAGACTGCAAAAATCTCCTCCTTTTTCCTATTTATAGATGTAACTTATACAAGATATGGTGTAAACAAATACAGTAGCGGCAGAATGATCTAGTAAGTATGACCGTTAGTGGTGGCTTCAATCTCCAAATGCAATAAAACATGAATTAGGACTCGAATAAAAAATGTCACCCACCTCTGACTGCAGAACATCCCGAAGAGCTGCAAGTAAGCTGTCACGAGAAGTGCTTGCATATACCTGATAGATATAGAATTGATGTTTAACAAATTACACCAGAACTGACATAAAGTCATATAAAATACTTACATGAATTGGACAACCATCAGAGAATTCAACTGCGAACATCTGTGGTTCTTCTGCAAACCGAACAAGAGAACTTACAGCGGAGAGAGGGCGAACAATGACAGCCTGGAAAACCCAAAATTGTAGATAAAGAAATTTTTCTAAACCCTGGCTTGAACAAGGAATAACTAAAAATACATATATTAACAGTAAAATAGCAGCTTAAATAAGGAAAACCTAGAGACATATAGTTATTAGGAAAACAATAAACAAAAAAAATCCAATATTATTAATTAAAATGATACTTTTTCTGAACCTACCTAACCTTGAGAACAAGTTAAATAGTGATGGACAATCAAAATTTTAAGCACTTTTGAAAACAATACAGGTGAAAGTTTTCAAGTAAAGCACAGTCAAACAACATTGAATCCTACCACTTGAAACAAGTAATTGTAATTTCTTGTTTGTATGTGGGAGTAGCAGATCTGTTTAAAGGTTGGTCATCATCCTTTTGAATAGATGCAGAATATGCAATGAGAAGAAAAACCTCATTAACAGTATTATTGTTTAGTTCATTCTGCTTACAGGCTTAGATGCATAACATAATAAAGCATATAGTGTGTCTACACAAGACAAATAAATTCATCCTGAAAGTACTATAATTAGAATCCTGATTTGACTCCAGAAGTAATGAGCACCTCCAGTTTTCCAGTAAATATTTGAAATCTTTAAGATCATGTTTACCATGGATGATACAGAAACTCAGTGCAGAAGCCAATCATAGTGCATGTCATCAAATGCTAAATGGCATGATGTCATCAATCTTGTAAACTTCTCAAAGATAACCTTTCTCTTATCACTTTGTAATATGTGCACCACCATGAAAAAAGCAAACATATACAAACAGACTTAAATCATGCCTAAAGGGAATGAATGATAGAAATATTAGAGAACAAGTGATGTGTAATATTGGTATACTATCGGAACCCCTTCCTACTTTTCATGTTAGGGAATCGTTTATCCTATTTAGGTTGTTTCATCTTTAAATCCAATATATTTCATAAATAATAATTGGACTTCATCCTTTGTATTATATACTTATGTTATGCAATGTCGCCAAAACACCAAGTCAGAGTTAGTGCAAAATAACATCCACAGCACCTCATAGTTATCAGGACGCCTTTCAACAATTGCAAGTTTCGTAAGAATAAGCTGTCGAGATACAGAGTCCCCTTGTTCTCCTAGGCCTCCCTTAGGTCCAATCCCAAGACTTAAGCTCTCAACATTAGCAGTTCCCTTGGCAGCAGAACGTAACCTCGTCACAGACCATCCGCCATAAGGGGTCTCATTTGCTCCAACTGCCTCCTTTGCTGCAACATACGATGTACTATTGAAGAAATTAAACCACAATGATAATGGCAATTCACTTACCAAAAGCAAGATACATAAGCAACACAAAATTAATACCATCATGATGTTATTTTAACACACATCATCAGAAGGTGCAGAATTCAGAAGTCCAGATTTGTCAATATCTTTAGAAGTTAACCTTGATTCCTTTAGAAAGAATTATCAGAGAACAAGAGCAATAAAAATCATAGTTGAGGACATCTAGTGTAGTGGTCCGCTTAAAGTAAAGAATACACTCATCTTTAGAACAATTATGAGGGGGGTTAAGTACTCAATCAGTTTAAACAGGTCAACCTATTACACCATTGACCCAACAGGATAAGTGGTTCCTGTCACCCTCAGATCTGGCATATAAAAAAAAGCTAGTTTTTTTTTTTCCTGAAACCATTTTTTTTAACCTGAAACCATTGATCCGGATAGTTCAGTCATTTGAACCATATTGGTTCTCTAGTTCACACAAGTCAAATGGTTTGATCTATATAGTGATCCCAATTCTCTTTTAAACCATTTCCTTTTTAACACTCTAGACATCATTTATTGTATTGGATTTGGATATTCTATATCCATAATTTTGTTGAGTGTCAACATATACACAGAGCACCCAGTTTTGCAACAATGTAATATTAGTAACAATTAAAATAAATTACTGTATGTTTAGACAACATATCTACACTTGCATTTTTGTCTCAAAAAAAAATTTATATTAACATCCAAAAATTTTGAACCTCCGAATTAAACAAGTTTTCAATATTAAAATTACTAATATGTATTCTTTTATCTATTTACAATGTCACATGTTGATTCATGATCGAACCTCAGTTGAACCACTGTCGGGTGACCCATGCAAATTGGTCTTTAAGACACTTAATTATACATCATGCCCCAAAAACCTTTTAAAGCCTACAATCATGAGAAGGTTACAAGCTGGTAAGTCCATATAAAAAGATCAAAAGAATACACTACTCGGAGCATTCCCATTGTATAAAAAACAGTCTATGACATGTATGCAATAGACCACATCACATGTCTCATACGTAGCAGCAAGAAATGGTATTCCGCCTGATTGGACTGCATATTATGTGAGCAGCTGCGTCAGACCACATAGGACCCTATAATGTTTGATACACAAAATGTAATGACATTTTTTAATAAAACAGCTAGAGACTTTAAGCCTTTAGTGATATTGCAACAGAAATATTACTTTTCCAATATTGTGGATGTTCATTATCTTATAGCCACAAAATTTATACATTCATCAAGGACCAATTATGCAATAAAGAAACAATAATTTCGTTAAACAGTTTGTATCTCTTTAATATAGCTTCATATACCTACATGTAACTTGTCTTACTATGCTCAGGTGTGCTATGACTTGCTCTTATCCACTGATGGGATGCAATCATATTGCTTGAAAATATTTCATTGTTTTTTCTTTCTGATTTTAAATTTCAATATAGGTATATACATATTAAAAAAGATTCCACATGCATCCCTACATGCAATATGTGCACTATGCACTGACCTAACTGTATAGCTTACCACTTCCAGTTTTTAAACTTTGAGAATTCTTAAGGAAGCACCATTCTTCCAGCTATCAACCAAAAACTAGCAAAACATGGTCCATTTTTTTAATATGGGGAGCGCTTTCTTTCAAAAAATATGAAGCAAAAAAAATGAACAACAGTGCCAGAAACTCCACAGCATGGTCTGATGAGGGTCAATGTATACAGAACTACCCTTGCAAGCAAAGAGATTAAATGGTATGGGGAAAGCTAACGAGAAAAGCTTTGTTGTTTGCCATAATGAATTTCAAGCCTTATTCCTTAGAAAGTGACAACTTTTTGCTTTCAAATCCAAATGCATTTGTGACATGTCTATTCTATCACTTACAGTCTAATGGAAATTATGAATATTTCCTTATCAAGTAAATCATTTGACTCACATGATATAGGAGTACATCATTGTACAAATGGAACACATGATCAACCAACAACACAGTGCTACTCTCTGGTTTTTAGCTATTTAAACTTGAAATTGATTGTCATTCAGTCCTCAAAATGACTATCACCGTCCAACTTTCATTCATTATGTTAATTGTATACTGGTTCTAGATGAAAGGAGTTAAAAATTTAGGTTAATTAGCAAATTCTGTCGTAGTTTGTTATTCATTACAGCAAATAAGTATTAGTAATCATACATTAACATGAAATGTGAATTAATAAAAGAAAAAGGCACCCAAAACAGATTAAAACCAAAACCTCTTACATAGCGACAAAAGATCAAATACATACAAAAAAGCAACGAAGAACTTTTTCAGGATTATTGCATGAGCATACCTCTTTTGTTAATAAAATCTGCTATTGTCATCGATTGAGAACTATTAACTGATAACAACAGCCCAACGGTAGTTTTTGCAGTTTTAGTCTGCAAAGACATCCACAGATATCGATAACATAAGAAGGATAACAGAACATCCACAATGGCCATCAGACACCTTGAAATAACCAGAGGAAGCAACATTCTCTTAAAGCAACAAAGAAGGAAACAACATTACCAAGTATGATACGATTGCTGAATTAGAGGCACCAGCGGCAGCTGTGAAAGCTTTACTTTTTCTCCCATACATGGGACAGAGAACAAATCCTCCTGAGTCAACACTTCTATTCCCATAATTGTCAGCCAGAAGTATGATGGCGGGAGAATCCATGTCTCTGAAATCCAAGCACCACCGAGGATCTCCAGACTGTCCGTCAAGGAGTTCGGCACCAGTGGCTGTAACCTTCAATTTCTGTACAACGAAATTTTGCATAAGGTGGCATTGAGAAAAAAAGGATTACTATGCTCAAATAACACTTTATCATAGTTCGTGCTGAAACAAAATCAGTTAATAGGAGCTACAACTAATTGTCATCGAATTTTAGGTTCAAGGTGATGCAGATAATGTGATGGATTATTTAATATGCAGCACTTAACATGTCCAGCAGAACGCTGCAGTGAATCCTTGGGGAGAACATTATAGGAATATTTGGCCTTGTAACAAAAAGTAACCACGGGAGCAGGACCAAATCAAGGGCCCGTGACTGTTGTGGAATGACATTATTTACATAATGCACAAGAATTCCAACCATCAAAAACGAAGAAAAATGCAGTAATATAACAGCATAATCTGTGAATTTGTTTTGTCAATGCAAGTTCAAGACAACCAAAAAGATACCAAGAATTATCACTGTCCACCAAGCTTCTGGTGGAAGCAGAAACTCAAGCCCTTGACCACACTACACTGTAACTGCATCGTGTCCAAGCCAAAAATGATCACTAAATAGACGATCGAGCCAACTGCTCAACAAGGAAAGCGACTTGTCTGCAGAAAAACAACTCCATCTAACCCAATGACTAGATAAAAACAAAAACAGGGTTCAATGGACTGCAGATAATTAAGTGTTTCAAGGCATATGGATTAGAAGAGGTGAGAAGATTAGCGCGTCACTTACAAAAGGGATCCATTCTGAGGTCCTTCGCCGAAGATGAAGTACTGGGAATTCCATGACCGGCCCCAACTTACCCCACCTAAGCCGGTGCAGGGCTGTCAGGATGCTCGCCCTAAACCTGGATGAGAACTTGATCGCCTTGAATTTGCCTTTCCCATCGGTCCGCACACTAACAGTAAACTCCTGCGAGCCGACATCATCCCCGCGTCCTAGCACCGGGGCCGCTCCCTCGAAGTCGGCAGCGACGTCATAAGAATTGGTGACGACCAGCGTCGAAGGATCGAGCGTCACGATCCCGGAGCTTGAGATGCAGAAGATCCGCTTGTACCGGCCCCGCCACGAATGCTTGATGGCCATGTACCGGGCCAAGTACTCGGGCTCCTCGGGCACGGCTGGGCCGGCCGGGACCGGAGCCGGAGCAGCCTCCACCGGCGGCGGGTGATGGTGGTTGGCGGAGGCGGATGCGGCGTGCCGGCTGACGAAATCCATAGGGGTCGGGGGGAGGCTCTCTAGATATCGGGTGCGCGGGGCATGAGGGATTCGCAGGAGGGTGAAGAGGCGCAAGCCCGCGTTCGCCTCGGACGGGCCGTGGCGTGACTGATTCGCCCCCAGCGCTGCCGATCTCCGGCGAGGTCACCTCCTGGTTTCTTGGGCTCCGATGCCCGCGTTGCGATCGAAACCCTAGGGTTCCGAGGGATCGATCCGCTCAGTCGTCGTCGTCGTCGTCGTCGTCGTTGTCTTCGCCAAAATCAATCGGTAATGGGCGATCGGGGGTTAGTGATTCTTGGAATCAAAGAGGCGTCCCTCTCCTCCTTCGCCTCCTGTTATCGTTTCATCGGGGCTTCGGTCGGGATCTCGGAGTCGGCGGACGTGTGCGCGGCCTTTCAAGGCGTCGTTCGGTGAAGGCTAAATTGGGGGGCCACCGCCTGGTAGATCGACGGGTGCGACTGTTGTGGGGCGAGGATTTTCTTTTTCTTTTCTTTGCCTCCTTCTGTCATTGAATTACTTTTTTTTCTGTTTCCGGATATATTTTAAATTTAAGTTTAATATGCGTCATATATGTTATTGGATATAATATTTTTTATTAAAAATGTTATTTTATTTTTATTTTTTATGATATAATTTTGATAAACATCTCTTTTTTTATTTCAAAACGCTTTTTTTATCTAATGGTTAGAATATCTTTTTCTCTCTTTTTCCTATACACCACTTCATATGATTAGCAGATCTAGTTACAATATATTTTTACACTGTTTTAACGTAGTCTTTTTAATAATATCAAGAAAATATTATAGCATTATATTTTATACAAACTTTATTAAAAATATTTATATTTTTTTAAAATTGTACTATAGTGTTTTCAACGATATTACAGATATATAGTATTTTGTATTATATTATAGTATCTTATTGGTATTGCTGAAAATACTATGAATAGCAATAAGCGATGATTGGGTATTTCATATTTTAGGGGAAAAAATTATTATTAGAAATTTTTAAAAAGGGAAGAGACTTTATAAAATAAATTTTAGAAAATTATCACATTTTTCTAACATATATAATTAATTTAATGGAACATAGTTATATTGTAATATGATATATTGTCGGGAAGGAGAGAATAATTTTATTTTGTATGATTCATTATTAGAACACTAGCTCAAAAAAATCTGCTTGTTAATCTTAATAGTCTCTTTCTTGATAAGTATTTTATCCACTTTTTATATTTTATAAAAAGAAAATAATTTTATTTCATGCTCCTTTCAATCTTCGTAGTTCATCTTTATCGAATCTCTAACAATCGGATTTTTTTTACTTTGATATCACTTATTAGTAAATATTAAGCTAGATAAAAAGCTTATTCCAAATAATCACATTGTAGTTATCATCGATAGCATTATTAATGATATTATCTACGATGTAAGGATAAAAAATATTCACATACTTTGTCTTAAGCTCCTTCTTCCTCGGTCCTCAATTTATATAACTTTCACTCCATATACAATTGTTCAAAAATTATTGTATCATTTTCACACAATATTATCTCTACAAAATTATCATACAAGTCCACAAATGACGTGAGAAGCAGTAGCACCTTATCATATTTATCAATCTTCTTCGATTCATCTAATATTTTTTTGAATATGTTCGAATAATATACCAAGCCTCTCAAAATACTAGACAATCCCAACATATATTAAATACAATGATCCAAGGCCTGAAAGCATTTGGCAAGAACAAATATAATTTAAGATCCCTTGCTTAATCTATCAAGTCGTAGAAAGCTTAAGTTGATTTATAGAAGTTGTTGATTGTATTATCACTAATTTAAATATAAGTACATAAACTATATAATTACAAACCTATCAAACTAATAAGTCAATTTAATAGGTCAGTTGATCTCATCCAATAAGGTCATAATAGAATTTGATTTTTTAATTATATCTAGCCTTAGAATGGTAGTTGGGAGTTAAAATCTAAGATCTATGATGATTTATAGAATTCTTTGTTGGTACCTTTCAATTCAAAAAAAGAAAAAAAAAAAAGAAGTGTTCAACTTTGTCCTTTGTTTTTTAATAAGTAAATGAGTTAAAAATGATGAAATGGTGGGATCAGAGAAATGGCCTACTTGATCTTGAATTAGATTCCTCTAAACATCAGCTGTTTCTCCAAGCATAACACAGTACCATCAATTATGGTTCTACTTACTATGATTCCTTTCTTACCAACGATCTATGTTGAGACTCGATTAGTACATTGTTGCGCAAGTGATATATCTTAATTTTCACCTCACGTGTAAATGATTAACTATCTATATTGTATAAAAGATGCAATATTTTTTTTATTTGTTAATAAATAAATAAATATGAACCAATTTGTAGAATGCTATAATCAGCATTTTGCATTTAAATGCACAATTCTTCTATTTATTTTATATTAAATCTGTGAGGATTAGTTTTAGAAAGAATGTTTGAAAGGACCAGTTGAGATGAACTTAGTGGAGAGAAGGCCCAGTTAAGAAGAGGTCAGGCATCTCCAGGTTTTCTCGTCTCTCTGCCAATGTAATAAAGCTGGCACAGAAGTGAGAACGAGAGCTCAGCATGCTGAAATCTTCTACGAGAAGTTGAATCGACAGCCATGATGGTTCAGCTCCTGTTGACAGCAGCAGGAACGACAAATCGACACGTGTAACAGCAGAATCTTTGAAGGTGCAAAAATTCTAACTCTGCCCACCTACGACTTAAGACTCAGTTGACCCCTAAACCTTGTGGTTCGTCTTTCAAATCATTTCTGAGGCCAGGAAGGTCTGCAGAGGATGGAGAGGAGGCTCCTTTCGGAAGTAACACGACACTGGGTCTTCCTCCATCCCCACACCATCTGTCGTCAGGCTGTCTTGGTCGCTTGGAGCTACTTCTCTCAAGCCAAGCTCAAGCTCAAGTTCCCTCTCCAAGTACTCCAGCCATGCACCGGTATTGCCTTCTTTACATGCACTGTTATCCTCGATCATGCTCCAAAGATCTCCATCAGGAATAACGAGGCCATCGGAGAGTTGTGTGGAAGTACTGCTCGATGTCATATTCGAGAGTGCATCATCAAAGATGCTCGACATGTCCATGGTGGGATCGATGGGGATCTCGATCACTTCCGCCGAGGAGTCGCGAGTGTGCAAGCATGGATCGTGTTGGTGTTCATGGCTTTTGTTTCCGCCATGATTTGAGCTCGAGGAAGAAGAGGTGGGTGGTGGCTCTTCAGGATCGTTCGTCGCCGCCGGTTTCTGCTCTGTGAATACCAATCGCTTCTTCAAATGTGTATTCCACACGTTCTTTATCTCGTTATCAGTTCTTCCTGGCAGGCATGACGCGATTTTGGACCACCTAAACAAAATTTAAATCAAGTGATCATCGTTTCAGTGCTGCGATATGACATGAGACTCTCCGATCAGCTAATTAAGGTGCGTTCATGCACGGTCGGTCTTACTTGTTTCCTAACAGCTTATGTAACTTCACTATGGTGTCTTCTTCTTCCTTTGTGAAGTTCCCTCGCTTGATGTCGGGGCGGAGGTAATTAGTCCACCTCAAACGGCAGCTTTTCCCGCACCTAAGCAGACCTTGCCATGCCAACCGAGACAAGAAAGAAAAAGATGAGTCCATGTCGATTTACAGTTCATGTCGACTGAGAAATCAGAGAGAGAGAGAGAGAGAGAGAGTAAACCTGCAAGTTTAGGTAGAGCGCGCCAGTTTCCGTGGCCGTGCTTCTGGATGTGAGCGATCAGCCTCATGTCTTCCTCCAGCGACCACGAGCCTTTGTTCAGCCCAACCTTCGCACAGCACGGTGCTCGGCCTCGGCCCATCTCTCTCTTATCTCTCTAAAATGACCCTTGCCTGATTGCAAGATCGGAGAGTGAAGCGAGTGATATATATAGAGAGAGAGTGACGGAGGTGAGACGCTGGCAAGTGTTCGCCGAGGCTGGTCCCACGTTTTGAGTGCTGTTCCTGCCGGACAACCGAAGAAAAGAGGCGGAGCATCGGAAAGAAGATTTCTGGCTTTGATGCAAGACTAAGACACTCTACTGACCTGAGCCAATCTTTCAACGAGACCTGCACTGCGTACAGACGCATCTCGTCCCAGGTTACTATCGGCGACTGATGTACACCATTGCCACCTACTTCATCCTTCACCACTGGAACTGAGTGGTCGATAGGCAACAGATCACACAGCCTCTTAGTTTAGTGGTGCGCAGACGACGAGTTCATGTCACCGATACATGACTCAGTCAGATGATCATCTCTGCTCCACCTCAGATGATCATCTGACTCAGTCAGATTTTATACTCTTTCTGGACAAAGAGAACTCACGGGAATGGCTCCGTTTGGAGCATTGATCCAAACTGTTTCTTATATCAACTAAATCTATAGTTTCTTAGTTTTAGTATCGATAAGTATATTTGATCTCACATCAAAGGAGACAACCAAAACAGGTTATTCTTTATCCTTTTGAGATATCTTTTTGGGCTAGTCTTTCGAAATACGACTTACGCGAAACATATGATTCTTCACGAACATTCATGTATATGTCAATGACACGACAAATGATGACTTATCAACCGACCCTCATTCGGCTCTATCGAAAGTTGTCATGCTACAGTTGAGAGGACTGCAACGCTCTAAAACTCTGATAGTATTGTGTGAATGTACTCTCGGTCTACCTTGTTGACGATTCAGTTTTCTACCTACAGGTCACTGACATTTCACCTACCTCTTTGACCATTTCCCGAGTTAGATTACCGGTGGAAGGGCGACGAAGATCAAACATAAGAAAACAAGTGCAAAAGCAGATCACCATGCATGCATGAACACAGTTTGAGCATTTATTGGTGGATGGCAGTTGAGGTTGATAGATATCAAACTGTTTTATAAGAAATGTCAATGACAGAGTCTAAGAATGATTAGCTTTGAATTTATCAAAAAACACAAAAAAGAACCTGTCTTTTTTGTTCTCTGATGAGATATATTCCAAAGAGAAGGAGTTCTCATCGACATGTATGTTGTCCTGTCATGGTATCAGCACTGGTGGAGGAGAAGCTGAATGCATGGCAGAATAGACTTAAGATCAATATGAAGATGTGATTTGAGTCAGTTTGGGTAAATTGAGTAATGAGTCACCTGTTACTGAATGCAGCAAGTTCTGCAAAGGAAGAGCATAACGTTTGCTTGATAAAGAACAATGGATGGCAATTGGTGATTAAAAGAATTAGATTAAAATAATATTTGAAAATATTCATATTAATTTAGATTAAATCGATATTTATATGTTAAGTTTGACTTTAAACTCATTATTATTTGATTTTATAACATATGTCAGCTGGAAAAATCCCAACCTGAGAACAGGATGGGTTGGGTTGGGTTAGGATTGGAGAATTGAAGAATGGCTTTGGGTGTAGCTGACCTACACACAGCTGTGAGTTTCCATAGTGAATGGATACAGTTTCTTCATCTCTATTTTTAGTGGAATTCCCCTCCACCTTCCCTCACTCATCTCGGACTGTGGTATCTCGACATCACACCATCTATATTGCTGCGGATGCAGCTGGGAATCACCAGAATTCTGCAAAGTTTGTTAATGAGTTTATTTGGATTAGGAATCAATTTGTGATGATCCTTCAGCAAGGAAATGTTGTTTCCTGTGAGAAGGATTCGCTATATGCATGATTCCAGAGAAAACAGAGAGGCATGCATGCAATCTCTTCCCTCTTCACTGATTTCCATTCAATATCGAAGCTAAACGATGACAAGAAAATGGCAAAGGAGACACCTTTTTTTTGTTTTATTAGGGACCTACCAAAGAAGGATGAAATGCAGTCAGGACCAGGAATTGTCGAAGGCGGCGGAGGTGATGGCCTGGGCGAACTCTTGGAAGTTGATGCGGCCGTCGCCGTCGGTGTCGGCCTCCTTGATCATGCCGGTGAGCTCGCTGGCGGTGAGGGCGTGGCCGAGCTTGGCCATGGAGTGGGCGAGCTCCGCGGCGGTGATGTACCCGTTGCCGTCGCGGTCGAACATCTTGAACAGCCGGCGGAGCTGCTCCTCGGTGTAGGGGGACTTGGCGGCGATGAGCTCCGGGGAGACGAGGGCCACGAACTCGGAGAACTCGACGAGGCCGTTGGAGTTGGTGTCGGCCCTGTGGATCAGGGATTCCAGCTGGTCGTTGCTGGGCTTGAGGCCGATGGCGCGGAGGAGGGAGCCCAGCTCCAGCTGTGTGAGGCTGCCGTCCTTGTTGCGGTCGAAGGAGCGGAAGATTTCACGAAGCTCCCCCAGCTGCTCGTCGTCCAACTTCACCGAATCCTCTCCGGCGCCACCATCATCGCCGTCGCTCATCTCGGATCGCTTCTCTCTCCCCGGACTTGGGAACTATCTTCTCGCTCTATCCTCTCCTCCTCAACCGGCAAGTACCGATCCGGTGGATGCGTCTCGTTTTGTCCCCGATCGATCCCGATATAAGACCGCGTCAATTCCAAACAAAACCGATCGATGTGCCACCAAAATTGGATCTTTACGGAAGATCTCTTACCAAGATCGAATCTTTATATGTCGAAAGGAACCAGATGATCTAATTGCATCTCGGCACTTTGGGGCGACGCCGACCGATCTCTTTGGATCTGGCGTCGGAGTCGGGGAGAGGAGACGAACGCGTGGTTAACGTCTGGGCGACCTTATATACGGAGTGGAGGAATCAAAGAGGGATGGGGAGCAAACAACAAACAGCAAAACATACAAGCAAAGAAAATGGAAGAAGGAAGAAAATTAAAAGAAGATCCAACAAATTCCATAAGACAAACAAACAATCAAAAAAAAAAAAAAAAAGGGATAATAAACCCCAAAAAAAGAATTTAATCCATGTATGAGTGTCTTATTTAATTATGTGATATAATATTATTTTTAAAGTATATATATATATATAAAGAAATAATAGCTCCCTAAGTTATGATGAGGGGACTTTAATCTTGCAAGCTCATGGCCTTTATGTGGCTAACGCAGCTCACATCTATAATGGTATCTCTATTATTTATGCGGAGCACTGTCATTTCACGGAGTACGTACGAGGAATTTGTAGCTTAATAGGAAGGTATTCTTTGTGATAATTGTTTGTAACGCTGGACATTCCAGAAGACATTGCGACGACAAAGAGAAAGCATCATTATAGACAGTCCAAATCCACTCAAATTAGCAACATCTTCGAAAAGCTTGGGTTCACAGGGAAGTTTTGAAGGGTCATCAGTCTACTGTTGTGTGTCTTCTAATGCCGATAGATTTGGCATGTAGCGAGAAAGATGCCTGTGCTGGCCATTCAAGCCCGCTGGTTTCAAAGGGATGCAGCATCATGACTTACTGCAGTTGGGAAAGTTCTCATGGGGATGTTCCAAGGAGTGAAGAAGGATCGATATCTCTTAACCTGATCTGAGTTACTAGCGGCTGAGCACTGCTTGGAGATATCAATGCTGCGAGGAGGCTTCCCACTGTGCACGTCAATTTGGGATGATGGTTTCATTTGATCAAAGCCACCGGAGACTGGAATTCCCTGTACTCCTCCCTGTGTTGCATGCCTTGAACGACTCTTGACCACCACATCAAAAGACCACTGGTCCTCCTGCACACAACAATGCCAGCAATCGTTGGACAATAGCATCTCAGTGGTTGAACTTACTCCGGTGAAGTGTCAGTTCATCTCTCTACTGATAATTTTATTACAAATTAGTGAATGTTTCACATTGTGCTCCCCGAAAAAAAAAAGCATTTCTTGTCGACAAGAACAGAGCATCCTAATCTCATTATAATAAAACTGAGGGTATTGCAAATAGTGGTCTTAATCTCCCTGATATATGTTAATTTAGATCGGTGTATGATCCTACATCTTAAATTTCTATCAGATAATTTAAAAGTGCAAGTCATGGGAATTGAATCCTTTGACGATACATTTCTATATTTCTCATTAGGAACATGAATTCTTGTATCTTCCAAACATTCTACTTCCAGAGACCATATACACCCTTAGAGAATACCATTACATAGAACCTGAAGTATTCAGAGAGATGCTACTATTGTTAAAATTAAACATCCAAGTGGCCAAATATTGTCTTGACATAAAACAACATAGTGACCAGACACAATGAACAAATGATGTCAAACTGTGACACAGTGCACTACATATGTGATCAAGCCAATGTTTGCATGCTTATGTTGATTACATTTCAAGGATTAGAAAGGACAATGCTGGTCACTTTCACTCCAGATAGCAGTCATCTCATCTAGCATACTAAGCCATTTGACCAAATGTTTAACCAATGTCATCAGATATGGACTTGCAACAAAGACATGCGAATGAGATTGGTTTTGTTTTTTTGCAACAAAGATATGGAATTGCAACAATAACAAGGTCCTGCACAACCAATGGGCCTGTTGAATTAAACCTAGATGATAAAGATCGGAAACCTATTATTTATTCATGATTAGGACTACGAAACAGTTTGTGGAAAGGAAATTACTACCGTACCTTTGTAATTGGTTTCAGCATTACAATGGGAAGACAAATTCAAATTATATCGACACAAGGAAACATGAATATGACTAGCTAGGTCCAACATGTTCTTATGTAGTAAATACCGGGGATTTAGTGTTGGGACTATATTTTGAGGCTCCCTTTTGCATATCAAAAAAATATCAATTTGCAAAGCATGGATAAAGTAGGATTTTATCCTAAAACACATATACATGTAACTTGCGAGCTAATAACGAAGGTATGGCCAACAAAAAGGATATATCATGATATATTCTCTGTTCTATGCAACAAGCTTTCGTAGCAAAAAATTGGTGATTACGGTACAAATGGCATCTAATTAGGTCCCCAAAGGTAACAACAGCTAAGAAAGGGAGAGATTGCTGGAAATCCATTGACGATTAGTCTAAATTAAACTGGTCAATATTAACATATTTTCAGGTCAAAACACCAATTCAAAAACTTAAGCTACTAAATTATGGGTCAAACTCAATATATGTCACCCGACTCTCTCAATATTTATCAATATAAGGCCTATTCTTTTAATCCTCTTTTCAATCTCTTCTCATATGAATATTTCTTAATTGAGATGAAGATGACAAAAGAAGTAATCTCAGCCTCCTTGAGATCCTACATAGAGAGATTGCACATAATAGATAATGGTGATGAAGAATTGAATGAGATCGCTAGGTAAAAATGCAGGGCAATCAGATTCGGCTTACACTGGAACTCAGATCGACCAAAAGCGAAGAGAGCCGTGCAATCTCAGACCATAGTCTCCCTAACAAGTTAATTTGCAAGCGTTTCTGGTGTGGCTCATCGATCTTAGACGAGGTCGTCGTCTTGCCATAAGAGGGGGGTAATTAAAGGAGCACACGATCGGAAGAACAAACATTTCTTCCGATGACAATTTGTCATGAAACGATATCAAGTTAAAATCTCTTAAAAGATTCCCACAAATCAACTACTATTGTAGGGGATGTTACAGAGCAAGGCACCTGTGAAGGAATTGACGGAGCTCGGGGCGACGAGGGCCGAGGAGGCACGCCACTGGATCCTGAGGGTGATCGCGTAGGTCCGCTTCAATCCCAAGAAGTATGCCGTCGCCAATGTCATCTCCCACAACACCATCTCCCTGCTCTTCTCTCTCGATCTCGATCTACAAAAGATTAGAGTTAAGCCGTAGTTACCCTTCCCATAACCGATGGATTCCGCCACTGCGCATTTCTTGGAGCGGAAGAAGGCGGCGGCGACGGGATGAACCAAGCGACGAGGAAAAGTCGAGCTTGTGTGCGAAATGGCTTGCTTTTGGTTCGCGGCAAAGCGGGGTTAAGATGTCGGTCGTTGTTGGTTTAATTGAGTCATAATAATTTTGTCAAAGAATAGTTAATTGATAGTATTAATTATAAATAGGAAGAAATGTTATAAAAATATTGATATGTGTGCCGAAGAGGGAAAGAAAACTAAGGAATAATTTTACATCAATAAGGTTTCAATTAGACATTAATAAGAAGGTAATGAAAATTGAAATAAAAGTAGCGAGTAGTCATTCTAAAATTTAATGGAATCAGATGACGCCCACAACTGAAGGCACTACAGAATTGATTTTTGACTGAGAAATTGGGGTTCGTCGATTTTAAAATCGTAACATACTGGAAATGTATGTAATTTTCTATCAAAGATAAATAATCTTAATAGAGTCTCTTTTGAAACCAGTCCATTTTTTTGGGAGGGATTTTTCTTATGAGGTGTAACATTTTAATTTTGGAGCTTATTTCTACTATTTATAATCCCTTAAAAATTAATAAAAAAATATTTTACTATTTTACTGTTCATGAAAAAAAAAAAGCTGTTGGGTTATTTTTCAAAGGTGTTTCAGTGATTAAGTCAAATAGGAGCACTGTTAGAAAAAAAAATTATAACAGTTGATATCTCTCCCAAAAAAAATCTAAAAAAGTTCAAAAAAAAATCTCCCTTGATAATTATTTAAATAAATGTTCACTTTAAATTTAATTAATTTATTTTAATAAATAGCTCTTATTCTTATTACCTAGAAGCTGCCAAAAATGTGATGATCAAAGATATCATCTTTGGCAATATGCACCTGAAATTTAATCTGAGATGGAATATATATATATATATATATATATATAATAATAATAATAATAATAACACATTAGATAGGAAGGATCCTCCAAATTCTACCTTCTTGCCTAAAAGTTGTCAACAGCTGGAAAGAATATTCGGAATAAATAGTATGATGTGTGTGTGTGTCAAAATTGGTTGTGGAATAGATTCAAACAAATTTTCACATGTTTTCGCGCATCTCGTTTGGTTGATGCGGGAATACAATTATTAATGACGCGGCGCTCCCTCTTTAAAGCGGCGTCGCTCATTACAGAAGTCGCACCAGTCTCCAAAGACCAGAATGCAGCGCCAGTCCCTCGGATCGCCCGGCCCCAAGCCTCTCGTCTCCGCCGTCGCCGGGGGAGCCGAGAGGGAGGAGAAGCGGAAGAGCATCGGCAGCGCCGTGGTCGGGGCCACCGAGGCGGACAAGGGGATCCGGGCGAGGCCCAGGGCGGAGAGGTTGATCCATCTCATCCCCGTCCTCACCATCCTCTGCCTCCTCGTCCTCTACCTCTTCTCCCACGATCTCTCCCTTCCAGGTTATTTTAGCTCCGCGGTCGCCCTTTTTCTCGATCGCTTCTTCCCTCCCTATTGCTGACCTCTTCGTTTCCCTGCTTTCCTAAGTTCAGATTCGCAGACGTTGGACGGCGCGGAGATGCGACTCGACTCCAAAGGTACAATGCCGGCCGATCTCAAGAACCCTTCATTCTTTTCGTTTCTTGTATCTCTTCTGGCGATCTCTTTTGGACGCCTCTTCGTGGGTTCTCAGTGGGGGTTCCGGGGGCCGAGAATGGCGGCGTGGCGTTGGCGATCCAGCAGATCGGTCGGGGGCTGAACGCGGCGGAGGAGCGGTTCCGTCACCGGAAGCTTGGGAAGCGTTAACCCTCCCTTGGCACGTGCGGAGAGCGATCGGTGGGCGTCGTCGGAGGTTTGTCTTCGACCATCAATTAGTTCACTGGAAATTGCTATTAGTCCTTTCTAGCGTCTTCGTTTGCTTAGTTTTGAATTGGTGTTGTTGAGTAGGACGGATTTCTAAAAGAAGAAAGAATAAAAAGGTTCCTAAACCAACTTATTTCAAATCATATTTTTATATTATAAGCTGATTACATTGAGTTTTGATTCAATTTACTTTAGTTACATAAAGATGTCAAAAACACTGTAATTAGATCGATTCATCCGATTTAATCCATGGGGCATAATCAGTACAATAAATAGCATAAATGCGAAGAAGTATGACAAATAGGGATGCTCTTTCAAAAATATTTCTGCATTAAAAGTATGGATGGGAAGTTGGTAGGTCTATGGGTACAGAAATGCCTGCAAATTCAATCACAAGGCACGAAATAAAAAGATAGGTGATCATGATTGGGCGCCTTGGAGTAATATATCATGTGATAGTTGATATATATCAAGAATTGAATGGGGCTCACCCATTTAAGTCGAGGAAAAGGCTCGACGAGTGTGGTGATCGATGATACTGATCTCGCCCAGGTTTCGTGCAGTGGGTCCCGTCCTCCTGATCGGAGGTCTGGGAACTGTGATGGACGGTAAAATGATATACCACGTGGGTAATCGAACGGTTGATGTGTTCGAGACAAGCCTAATCAGGTGGAACAAAGGTTGCGAGTATTTGGTCATTGGATTTATGTATGTATGCGCAGAAAGCACATCTCCATAGGTAGATCCTAAAAGCCGGTCATTCAGATCAACAATTACAATACATGTTGTGTTTTTCCTTTTGTTTTTCTTTTGTTTATGATCGCCGAGAATCCATAGTTAGTATTAGTATGGGCTTCTGAAGTCGCAACTTGGGTATTTGTGGATCGAAAACTTGCGTTAGATTAATGCATTCTTCTTATTTTGTGACAACACGTGCAGGTTTTTTCTCTTCTCTTTCTTCGTCTTCGTGTATTATAAATCTCGATCGATTCCGGTAACAAGTATGGCCGAACAACTAAGGTGGACTTGTTGGTCTTGCATAAATTAAGACCACCAAGGGAAGAAATAGCTCCTCAGCCATTAGATACTTTCTCCCACCACCTCCCTTTTTTTTTTATGTGATAAGACACGTTCATTCCAAACTTGTACTCGATTTAGATACGAGTGGTTGGAAATCTAGCTCTTCTCATGCCCACCGGGTTGGTTGCTTGTTTGAGCGGATTAATTTAAGGAGATGATTGAAGTAGGCCTGTGCGCAAGGGGGAATGGACATACAGGATCCATTTCCCCTTATTTCCTAACAACAAAAGTTTTTATTATTTTACTAATGATCATATTTGATATTTAATGGTAAAAGTCATACTCTGAATGATCATATTTGATATTTGATTTGATGTGCTATTTGTATAAAGATCAAGGTCGAGAGAGATTTTCTGACTTAGTTTCTCCGACACTCAAATTAATAACTCGAGGTATATAAGTAAGTTTTTCTTTTATTTATGTGAAAGATGAGCTTTTATACTAAAGGGTATGAAGAAAATTTATGCTTGTCTTTTTCATCATAAATGATGATAATAAAGTTTGTGATTATCTATTTCGTCATAAATGATGAGAAGAAAATTTTGTTTTTTCTTTTCTCTTTGGGCATCATGGTGATGTGTTTAAGGACAATATATTTCCTATCAATATGTAAATCACAGTGTTGTTATGAAAATTTTTGATATGTAAATCAAAGTATTCATATGAAAAATAAATTTTCATGTTTTAGGAATTATGAGTTCTTAGAGATCTCTTGCACCTCACTTAGTAGCTCGCTCAATCTAATGAACAAATTGAAGTTATTAACTGATCGAGACCAAAAGAGCTTGGTTTAGTAAACTACTTAATATCCGTTTGAGTTGCTAAAGAACCTTAAAGAGTGTCGACAAGAGATTTCTCATTCTTCCTTGCTTACAGGATAGAGGTCATCACTGTCTCGTAATTTACAATGATGAAGTGTTGGATCAAGGTCTTTGGGCTAACCACATCTTAATAGATAAAGTTTGAGTGAAAGAATATTTGCATAATTTAGCTTATATATAAGTGATATTAAGTCAATATAACAAGAGGTCTAACCCTAACACATTGGAGAGGAGATTTGATGTTGTGAAAGGACTGATATCAGTAATCTCATTCACTAAATCATCTTTTTTGGTAAAAAATTTGTCGATTACAGATCGGGGACAAATATTCCTCAGATCTAAAACATTGATCACCTTAGAAAAGGTTTCCCATAAAAGGGATTTGACTCAGAATGAATACAACACAAATTAAAAAAAACTTATGTAAGTTTTCAAAGGAAAATATAACATTTGATGAAATAAATCTCTACATTATGCTTGATAGCCCCTATGAGATAAATTTGCAACCCCTACAAGATAGTAAATACTGGTCCAATCACGAAGCAGGCAAGAGAGTGAATTGACCATAGAAACATCTTTTCTTTTAGGATAAAAAGCTATATAAACTGCCAAAAGAATCGAGTCAGCCACGCAACTCAACTAGTCATCGCTGCCGACTAAAAAAGGTGTCGCACTAAATTAATAATAATAATTATTATTATTTCATGTGATGGAGATATTCTAGTTGGGATAAATCTAAAAGGTGTCTTATTATTTATGTAGTCAATCTTAAATAATTAAAAATATTAATTTATTATTATAGTTGTTGAAAATAGTCGAGTAAAACAGTGAAATGGACTCGTGATTGAATTCCTCACCCTAAAAGAAATTGCCCTTCCTCTCATGAACCGTGTGATTATTATAGGAAGCATTGCACCAGCCCTTCCCATGTTCCTCTCCAATAAAATCATTTGCCCTCGCCATATCATTTGTTTGTTTTTTAATCTTTGTGCTTTTAGTTGTCTTCATTTTCTAAATTATTTATTTTTTTAATTATTATTCGTTTCTATTTCAAGAGTAATTCATAATTTTTATACTTTTTTATTTTCTATATGGATGGGCTTTTGATTCTGATTACTGACAAATGTTGCTGCCTAGACTAGTTTTTTTTTTTGCATATTTTCCGGAGAAAATTCACGTCTTCACAGTATCGAACTTAAACCTTGATATTATTTAGTTCAAGAATTTTTACACCGACCACATCCGTAAACCCTACTGCCAAAGGTCTAATCATAATTGAAACCCCATTGTTGTGTCTCTTTCAGATAATTAGCAGGAGAAAGACCAAGAAAGAATCATAGTAAATACAAAGTCAATCTCGATTGCATGTTCTGCAAAATAGTCTTTATGTTACGCTGCTAGTAACAGCTGTAACTTTCACGATGGCAATGTGGCTATCATAAGGTACCTTTCGACGTCACGGTCGATAGCTTTCAAGCTGTGGTCCTCCATAAAATGCGTAACCCCAGTGCATTCAAGTAGTTTTCTCTTTCCTCTTCAACTTAATCTTTTCAAGTGGGTCCGGCGACGATGAGTAATGATGTCGCTGGAAAGGTACGTAATAGTACTTGAATCCAAGTTTTGACCAATTATCAAAGTATGGAAACCTAATTTTGACTCGGTTAGCTATTTTTATAAATCTATCCAATATCAAGACTCATATCCGACGATTTCGAGAAGCGAAATATGAGGAATGATCCTATAAAATAGCTTTACGGGTACAGCCCGATGAATGCTTCTTTGAGTATCAAGTCAGTAAGAATTGACGAATCAAAGGTGCTATTCCGGATTTGATCGTAGGATCTATCTCGGGGGTCTTTTCATAGCGAATCGAGATAATTGACGAATGTGAAATAGCTGTTCGTCATCGAGCGACCATGTGGTAATGCAGATAGGTGAGATTTGACGGGTCACCGAATTATCTACGTGGGTTTGGGATTCCTTTGATCACCAACATGACAGAAACTTTTTCTGTACCGTCCTAGTAATCAATGATCATTTGCCTCGTGTACGGTGATCTGGTCTCATCAATAGGAAAAAAATGATCATGACGTGTAATGGTATTAGTTGATGTCCGCCGGGCTACACTCGCATCGAGTCCGACCGGTGGGTGAAGCTAAAAAATCTGCTCATCTTGTACTTGGACACACTTTTAATTCCTGTCCCACCACCACCATCATATCATCACCATCATCGCAATGAAACACGCGAGCCCATTAGCAGCCGTCCGATGCTTGGCAATTGCCATCGACACTGCCACCTTATCGCGTGAGAAATCAGAGGCTTCTGCCACGTGAGGACAAGGCAACAAACCCACGCTTACGTCGTTTTCCTCCCGATGCCGGCAAGGAAAACGTGTTCTATCCATCACCTCCGCACCCTCGCATCCTCACCACACAATTCTATTATATTCTACCCTTCTCTTTTTCCATCCGATAATATCAATTAAAAATATATTTCTATTATTTATTTATTTATTTGTTGGTTTAGTAAAGCGAGGGGGAGAGCAAAGCCAGTAGTAGCGTTTTGTCAACAATAGCTGCCCGACTTGGGCTCACCGAGGGGAAACGGTGACGGGAATCAAGTGATCCGGTTCATCCGCCTCGCCCGCCCCCTCATCGATCGGAGAAGAGCATGAACCTGTGGGCCGACGACAACGCCTCCTTGATGGAGGCCTTCATGGGCACCACCGACCTCCAGGGCTTCCCCTGGGCGACCGCTACCGCTCCTCCTACGCCCACCCCGCCCGCCGCTGCCGCCTTGGGTCCGGCGACCGCCCTCGCCTCGGCAGCACCGGCGTACTTCAGCCAGGAGACCCTCCAGCAGCGGCTGCAGGCGCTGATCGAGGGGGCCCGGGAAAGCTGGACGTACGGCATCTTCTGGCAGACGTCGGTGGACGGCGCTACCGGCGCGTACTTCCTTGGCTGGGGCGACGGGTACTACAAGGGGTGCGAGGAGGACAAGCGAAAGCAGCGGGTCGCCAACGCCGTCTCTGCCGTCGAGCAGGAGCACCGGAGGCGCGTCCTCCGCGAGCTCCACTCTCTTATCTCCGGGGGCGGTTCCTCGGCGCCCGACGAGACCGTCGACGAGGAGGTCACAGACACCGAGTGGTTCTTCCTCGTCTCCATGACCCAATCGTTCGTCAACGGGGGCGGGTTCCCTGGCCAGGCACTCTTCGCCGGAGCTCCCGTCTGGGTCGCCGGCGCCGACCGCCTCGCCTCGGCGCCCTGCGAGCGGGCGCGCCAGGCACAGCTGTTCGGCCTCCAGACCATGGTCTGCGTCCCCGTCGGCTCCGGCGTGCTCGAGCTCGGTTCCACCGACGTTGTCTCCCACAGCCACGAGATAATGGGCAAGATCCGCGTCCTCTTCCTCTTCAGCTCCCCAGATCTGCCGTCCTCCTCCACGGCCGCCGCCGTATCCTGGATCACGCCGCAACCTGCGGCGGCGACTCCCGCCACCGATCAAGGCGAGACAGATCCTTCCGTTCTCTGGCTCACAGATCCGTCCGCGGTGGAGATCAAGGACTCGGTTTCGCCCGTCACGACCGCCGCCGACATCTCCGTCACAAAACCCCGGACCCAATGCGAGAACAACCCTAGCTCCAGGATCCTCACGGAAAACCCTAGCTCTTCGCGCCGAATCCAGAAACCCCACCACCACCACCACCAACAGCAGCATCAGGGCAGCGGCAGTAACCCGCAAAATCAAACTTTTTACTCCAAATTAGCTTCCAATGGCCCCGTTCCTCCCCAGTCGACCGAACCGTGTAGCAAGAGGAATCCATCGCCGGCCCCTGTAACTGGCGGCCTCTTTTCAGACCACCAAGTCGCCACCGCCGTGGCAGAAGACATGAAGAATAAGGGTTGCACGGGGGCGACATCCAGGGTGAGCAACCAGGAAGCGGGGATGCTATGCTTCTCCTCTGCTCCTGCACGAGCCCCCTCCAATGGTCAGATGAAATCTTCCGGCGGCGGCGTAGGCGGCATCCTCGATGGCCCGGATTCCGATCAGTCGGACCTGGAGGCCTCGGCGCGAGAGGTGGAGAGCAACCGGGTGGTGGAGCCAGAGAAACGTCCGAGGAAACGCGGCCGGAAGCCTGCCAATGGCCGCGAGGAGCCTCTGAACCACGTGGAAGCCGAGCGGCAGCGCCGCGAGAAACTCAACCAACGCTTCTACGCTCTCCGTGCGGTCGTCCCCAACGTGTCCAAGATGGACAAAGCCTCCCTCCTCGGCGATGCGGTCTCATACATCAACGAACTGCGATCCAACCTCCAGACTCTGGAAGCGGACAAGGAGGAGTTGCGAGATCGAGTGGAAGCCCTGGAGAAGAAGCTCCCGGTCCAGCCACCACCGGACCATAATCTTAGAACGACGACGAACGGGCGGTGTCACGGGGTGGAGATGGAAGTGAAGATACTGGGGTCGGAGGCCATGATCAGATTGCAGTGCCAGAAAAGGAATCACCCGGCCGCGAGTCTGATGGCTGCGCTGAAAGACCTGGATCTTGAACTGCATTATGCGAGCGTGTCGGTGGTGAAGGACCTCATGATCCAGCAGGTGACGGTGAAGATGTCGCCGGGCCGGGTGATGACGCAGGAGCAGCTCTGTGCTTCTCTATACTCGAGAGTGGCTGCGGAGGCACCAATTAGTAGTAGCAGTAGGTAGTCACACTGCGTCTGTGGTAGCAGTAACTTTTGAGATGGCGGCGGGAGAAATTTTTAGATCATGCTGAATTCTGGGTTATATTCGGTAGGTACGTGCTTGGAATTGCAGTGTGGCTTTCTCAGCAGAGCGGCGGAGGGAGCTGCTGCCGCCAGAGTATGCTATGTTTCGGTGGCTTCTAATGTTTTGGTGGTAATGTCCTTCTACATGTATATATATATATTTATAAGTTGCATGTGTAGTGCAAATGAGTCCTGGCTTGTCTTTTTGTGTTGTTGAACCTTCTTCCATGTGCACTGTATGGCTCCCTTCGTTTCTGTGTTGCCTTTGCGGGGAGAGCGTGTTCAGTTTCCAGAGCAGCTAAGAGTTGATGCAGCAGCAGCAACAGCAACAGCAGCTGCTCATGCTGAGTTCTATATGAAGTAAACGATGTGCAAGGCTGCAGGCTTCGGACTGGAGCAGGAGCAACGCCTGGGAGATTGGATCTTGATATCTTGCATCAGGTGATCCATGAAAGGATGATGTGCACTTTTAATATCATGTTCGTTTCTTCTCCCGTTATGGGATTGAAATTGAGGAAAATTTAAGAAAATGTTGAAGAAAATCATTTGTTTTTGCCGTGTAAATTGACAGTGTAAAAAAGCCTCCATAAATTCCTGTATAGTGCTCCCATTTTTTAAAAAAAATTATAATATATTTTTTTCTGAAAAATAATTTTACTCTTATACCTTTGTTATGGAGACTCATGTCTTTGCTCAAAGCCTCCCGAACCCTCGTCCTCGTTTGTCTCTACCTTCGGCCTTCGGCCTTAGTAGTCTACGCATGTGATCTTTGATCACCTTCATGTGTGTTCGTCATTTTCATCCTCCTTGTTGTGTCTTTGGCAAAGGAGGTTACAGGCAAAGGCGAGACGTGTGGGATTTCGATGATGCAGGGTTAGTCATTAGCTAGCAGGGGTTATCAACCAACGAACTCTCGATGGTCATCTTCGTCCTCTTTGGTCATTGCGAATATGATGAGCCAAGAGTTGGAGAATGCATGGAGGTCGTTAGTGTGTAGGTTCCCAATAAAATAGGGTTGGTTTTCATTTACCGGTTTTTATTTACCCTTTTCAATCATCACGGATATGACGAGAGATACCAAAGATAAAGGCAGAGATAAGGGGAAAAAAATATTTTCCTGAAGATGGAAAGCTCATATATATATATATATATACATATATATATGAACGAATCAAAATAAGGCCGGTCCGGTCCCCTTACATTGCACAGTAATTATAATTATAAGCGTTTAAAAAAAAATTATTATTAAACCGACTACTTTCGGGTTCCGATTCTCTTGCCTGCTCTCCTCTCTCCCGTCTGGGGCGAACATCCACGAAAGCCTTCCTCCCGTCGTCGTCAATGGCTTCTGATGGCTTCGCCGACAAGAACGCCGTGTTCAGAAAGGTCAAATCCAAGCCCGATAACAAGGTAACCCGCTCAAGATGCGTTGCTGTTACTTTCTTGTGTTTCGTTCCTTGATTTTGGATCGACTTCCTCGTGTCCCTCTGCTGGAATCGATTGGGTCGCTGGGATCTCCAGCGAGGGCCTTCAGATCTGATTATTTCTCGCCCGTGGATCTCTTTTCCTTTGCAGATGTGCTTCGATTGCAACGCGAAGAACCCGACGTGGGCGTCGGTGACCTACGGGATCTTTCTATGCCTCGATTGCTCTGCCGTTCACCGCAGCCTTGGTGTGCACATCAGCTTCGTAAGGTATCAGAATGTTATGCTCGTTGCTTTTGCTAAATCTAAGAAATAGGGCAGTTCCTTTTTTTTTTTTTAAAGGTTTTAGGAGTTTGAAAACTTGTATCGATATCTAAATGCATAAAATGTTTTGTGGGATGTTATTGTCGATCTATTTCTTTTTATATGTTCTTGAAATTACGTAATCCACTTTGGTCGGTTCAACTTCAAATGATACACACGGAGGATGCCTGCAGGGGACAATGAATATCCACTTGCTTTTGCTTTTAAGATAGTAGATCTGTAATGTAAGTTGCATTAGATATTTCCTCGCAGTCCTGCTTCATTTGAAGGCTAATTTTCTAGTTCATTTCCTGATCCATCTGTATAATGATGTTTAAAGTTTTTAGGAGAAGTAATTGATTGTGTTTTAATTGTCTTTGTTTTTTATCCTTTTTTGGGACCTGAAAAATTTTCAACTTGATATTCATCAGTAATAGAGTCTATTGGATTGCATGATGAGCTAACTTTACAGTTTAACCTGTGTTTGCCTGTAAAATATTCTAAACGCGATGTCTATGTGGAGAATATATTGTCAGAAAACCCCTTTTTTTGCGTTTTTTATTGAGATGATGGAAATTGATTTGCCCATTTTGAGCTAGTGCTAAAACTCTAGTTGGTTATGACCAAGTTATAACACTTGAAGATTTGTTCAGGCGCTTTGACACAGTTGATTTAAAAATAATAGTTGTTATGGAACTTCTATTCCTACACTGATTAAGTTCATAAATTGTTTCAGAACCTTATTGGCCGACAGTAGAATTCTTCCAAAGTAAAATGGATAGAAGTACATCATATGAGAAAGACCTTATATGATTTTTCATATAGAAAAGCTGTTTTATTTTAAACTTATATGAATGTGGATTTGCAATTTGATAAACCGGATCGAAGATGAGGTTGAAGTTTGGCTCTTGAGACTTCAGGGATGGCTAACTTTGATTTACAGAATTAAAATGAACGGGTAGTTCTCTTGTTAGCAAGTTGGTGTGTCTTAAACAAATTTCAAGTTGACCTTAGTTTATTACAAGAGTACTATTTCGCATCTTCTAATAATGGAAAGTGCTGCATAATCCGTATATTTGTGATATGCAGATCAGAAGGATCAAATGAGATGGAAATCTTGCTGTAGTAACTACAAGGGCTGATCGTACTAATATTGTTCTTTAATTTCTACCTGAAGATTTCCATGACATGTTAGCATTACTTACATGCTTATTTATCGGATGTCCAACATGTTCAATGTCTTTAAGCATTTTATTTAGATCCTGATGGCTTCTTCTGGAGGTGCTTGCATGAGTCACTGTTAAATGTGTTATTTGATGATGTCTAGGTCTACAAATTTAGACTCTTGGACTCCTGAGCAGCTGAAAATGATGGTGTTTGGAGGCAACAACCGCGCACAAGTTTTCTTTAAGCAGCATGGATGGACAGATGGTGGCAAGATTGAGGCCAAATATACATCTAGGGCAGCAGAATTGTATAGGCAGTTACTTACCAAAGAGGTTGCTAAGAGCTCTGCTGAGGATACTGGATTACCTGCATCACCTGTTGCAGCATCCCATTCACCACAAGCATTGAATGGACTTCATGAACTCAAGCCCGCAGATACACCCGATGATAATCCAAATGTGGCATATGAGACTGAAACTACCCGATCCCCTAAAGCTCCAGTTCGTTCTGCATTTATAAGTTCTGTTAAGAAACCGATTTATACAAAGAAGTCTGCAAGCAAGACTGGAGGGCTTGGTGTCAGGAAGCTCACGACAAAGGTAAATTTATGCCTCTGCAAGTTAGTAGATCAATAGGTTTTGTGAGGCATTATTCCTGCCATTTTTTGTTGGACTTGTTTGTCTTTGCTTAATTTCAGATTTTTATCGAGTATTTTATTCTTTTGATGTTCTGCATATTCTATGGTAAATGCTTCTATGGTGTGTGTATATGTGCATATATATATGAATTGTACAAATTATGTATTTGAATATGAATTATCAGAATAGAACACTTTCACTATAACCTTTTCTTTTTTTTGGCTGAATCTGCTGTCTTCACATTAACTGTTAATTTCTTTGCAGCCAAATGAAAGTCTTTATGACCAAAAGCCTGAAGAACCAGCACCCGTGGCAGTGCCAGCTAATTCTAACGGGACAATTGGTCAGTCATTTCCTTCTCGATTTGAGTATATGGAGGACACACCTTCCATCGAGGGCACTGGTGGCTTTGAAGTGATCAATCATGTTGCTCCACCGAAGTCTTCAAGCTTTTTTCAAGACTTTGGAATGGATGGTGGATTTCAGAAAAAATCAAGCTCCATTTCTTCAAAAGTACAGGTAATACTGTTTTGTTACCATTTTCTGTCAATTTGGTTGAATGATGTCCCTCTTTCTTTCTCTAATGGAGACTTTCTGATTTTTTTTAAAAAAATAACTATGTGCCTGATGGATTCATATCTAGACATTGATCAAGTCCAAAGTAACCTTTTTGATGTCGTGGAAGTTATAAATTTTTTCTACCCTGTCAAAGCATCATACTGTGTCCTTGATTAGATGATAAATTATACCATAGAATCTTATTACTACCATAGTGTGAAAGTGGTTGAGAGAAAAATGTCATTTGTTGAAGGCAACACAGGTAATGGGCAGGTTTGTTTTGGCATTTGATATAAGGGCCTACAATAGTGAGAGGTTCATTGTGGTTATTTTAGCAGAGGCTATGAACAGATGACACTTAATTTAGAAGAGAGAAAATTGTCAGCACAATTCTTAAATGCAAAAAAGTGATGATATGCTTGTACAAATCTTACAATTTTCTTATAATTTGTTTTTTGTACTTTTGATTACCAGGTACAAGAAGGTAATGAAGCAAGACAGAAATTTTCAAATGCAAAATCAATATCATCAGCCCAATTCTTTGGTGATGAGAACAGAGCTAGTGAGGCCCAAATATCGTTGGAAAAATACACGGTATGTGCTTTTTCCACCATCATATTATATTTGTTGAATCAAGGAGATTTGTGAGCCTTGATAGCAGGATCGTAGAAATGTGATGTTACTAGATGTACGTAGTTGGTCGACTCTGCTAGCAACCAATGCCTTCCAGGCTCTGGAAGTGAGGAGAATACTCCAAAATAAATGTACTGACATGGTTATTGGCCTGGGAGACACATTTATCAGTTGCTCTTCAGTTTAGGTGCCTTCTATTTTGTGATTATTATTTTTGAGACTCCTTATTCTCATTGGAGCTTCAGCAAAACTTTGTTGCATCAGTTGCTGGTATTTCCTCATGATCTCCTATGATATGGATATTCCGTACCACTAATAAAAATTTGATTTGGTTAAAAACCTGATTGGTACCATGTTGGAGTTTGATAACCTTTCGAGTGTTCACGCTGGCTTATACCACCTTTTATGTAGGGGTCAACATCCATTTCAAGCGCCGATCTCTTTGGTCGTGAAAATGATTCGGGACTCGACCTGACTGCTGCAGACCTAATCAACAGAATCTCCTTCCAGGTACTTTCTATACTGTAGGAAAACCTGCTCGGCTAGCATTTACATTGTCAATATCTCATCTAAATATCTCTCCGCGTACATTCCTCTTACCAGATTTCTGCAGGAGGGTGTGTGTGTGTGTGTGACATTTTTTTAAATCTTTTGTCGAGGTACTCAATAACATGTGCTTTGCTTCTCTAGGCATCACAAGATATATCATCGCTGAAGAACATAGCGGGGGAGACTGGGAAGAAGTTGTCGTCTTTAGCCTCCGGTCTGATCAATGACTTCCAGGCCAGAATGCTTTGAGTACGCTGCCTAAGGTCACATTCGTATACCATGTTCAACAGCTAGCTGATCGATAAACAGCTTCTTATCTTCTCTAGAAATTGCTTGTCCGACGTCAAAAGCTTAAATTTATCTTCCTTTTGTTTTTTTTTTTTAATTCCTTTTGAGTTGTATTAATAAACCTCAGTAGTTGCTTTGCGCTGCCGACTCAGGCGATGCAGTTGGAGCTACGTAACCATACTAGTAACTGTCTTCCTCAGAAGTTTATATGCTCTTCTATATTTCCCGAGGCATCGGTGACACAAACCATAACAGAGACGTGTCGAGTGTTGGCTTCTACCGCCGACGCCTCCTCTATTTGTTGGTCGTGATATAGATGCTCAAACGGAGACGGGAGGAGGGAAAAGAGGAAGAAGGCTCGTCATGATGCGCGCTGTATGTACGAGCAGTGGAACCTACTCTCCTCCCCTTGTCGAGCTCTAACACGACCACAAATCTGGTGGTGCTTCTGCGACCTCTGGAACTAGCAGGATCTAGTCCATCGAGACCGAACGCCGTAAGATGGTCCGTTCCCTATTCTTCCACATCTTTTTTTTATCACTATTAATTGAATGCGTCTCTCGTCAGTCAGTGGATCGGATCTTAGTTGGATCTGATGCCCATGTCGTTTTTCTCGTTGTCCAACCAATTTATCTGACATCTTTTCATCGTTTACCAATGGGACCCAGGCTTGATTGACCGTTGACGAACCTGACGATTCGAAGGAACTATCTCCTGTGAACTTTTGACCCACCTACCCACCCACCCCCCAATCTGCGTTAGCGTTCGATGGGATGAGAGATTCGGCATTGCGTTTGCTCCGGTAATATCCATAGAATGTAAAACATTGATGTCCTCACAAGATCCAAGGAGAGGGCCGTCACAAACTGTTTCCTCGGTAAAGAAAAAGAAGCGGACAGTCACCACCTCCTTTCTCTGCACATGGGGGGCACTTCCCCCGATCCTCCTCCTTGGGCCACCACACCCATCTTCATCACCTTCCTCAAGGGCAAAGTCAGAAGAAAAACGGCAGAACAAGACACGGATCCTTCTCCCTGTCCAAACGCCTACTGCCGCTACCACACCTCTTGTTCTCTGTTCATCTTCTTCTGCGGCCCCCAGGTGGGAAGCGTGCTTGTGCTTGTTGTGCTTGTCAAGGTCATCACCAACACCAGGTTCTCCAAAACCTGGCCCCACCCCCCACACCACAAAATTCTTGTGCGGTGGAAGAATTAGTCTCCACAGTAGCCCCACCATTGCTAACCTCTTCCATGGCATTAGCTCCAAGGTTTCATGAGCTATGCATGATCCATCTCCAACATGTAGAAGCAGCAAAGTGATGAGAACCTCCACGATTTAAATGTTCCTCCTATCCTTCTTTATAGATGAAATTATTCTGGTGGATGAATGGTGGTCTCTTCTTGGCGTGACCTCATCTTCTTTATTTTCTCTCGAAGGTCCATGCACTGGAAATTTTGGCATCAACCCGTAAGGGAGAGGGGTGGGTTGAGTGGATCATGGAGCGATGATTTGCGGTTAGATTGTCCTTTTTATGGTGGTGGCCAAGTTAGGCTCAGATACCCTCCCTCACCACAAAAGGATGGGGGAAAAAGGAAAGGGCATGGTTGTTGTGGGATATCCACAAAGAGCATGTTTGGTTCGCCAAAGCAATCAATCGTATAAAATTATAATTAAATATCCTCATCCTCGTCATCTTTTTTTCTTGCTGTCATAATAATTAAGTGCTTTGCGAACTCAAAATCCGATCCACACAATTAAAGAAAGATCCACTAATCTCTGTTCCTTATGTTGGGAAGTTCTAATATTATCTATCATATGCGAAATATGATTGATCATTGAAAGTATTTGAGTCTAGAAATCTAAAATCTAAACCGTAACGAGTAATGCACAGTATGTAAAACCATTTCATTTCATTTCTTCTTTGTCGAGAGAAGAAAGAGATAACTAATTTCTTCTTCAATCTTAGAAAATTGATACAAATAGTAATATGAAAAAGGAATAAGAGAGTATTTTAATTGTCGATTAGAAAGAATATATGATGTAAATAAATCCTACGATAACAATTGTTCACATTAATATATCAAAGATATTTCTCCCACATCGATCGGAGAGAAGGGTCGACTGATCTCAGCCAACAAAGGATATATGTAGTTCGACCCTTAATGCTTCGATAGGGTCGACCGATCTCATCCTCTAATCAAATATCATGGTATCATAACTTTGGCCACTAAGAAAATGCGGTATGAGGAACAGGCATTTTGATTCCAGATCTGTACATGGCATCCTAGTGATTAGTCCCCAAATCCATGCCCTAATCGAGTAAGAAAAAGGTGTGTAGAAGCCGATCAAAGGAGAGGTTGAATCGACGAGCATTGGCAGGAAGAAAAAAGGGGTCTTAATCTAATGGGAATGTGACGGAAGACAGACTTGTCGCTTGTGATCAACTCGGCAGAGAGGGAGAGTGTGGATAAGAACGGACAATATCTCTCGCGTGTCTACAAAAGACCTCACGCCCTCTCCCCCTCCCCTTGTTCTCATATGCCTGCCTTGTTGCTCCTTCGTTTCTCTGCTCCACTGCAAGCTTGAGAAAGATCGAAATGGTGATCGACCAGGAATCCCCCAACAAAGAGCTCGATCTCAAGAATAGACGAGTGTGTTGTCGATTCTCTTTAGTGCCAAAGATGCTTCCTTTCTCCTTCTACTTCTGATAAGCGGTTGTCTTTTGCTGTGGGTTGTCGATGGGTATCGGTCCGATCAGGGAGGAGGAGGAGGGCTGGAGGATGACAGCCGGTGCCCCCGCTGGCTGCGCCCACTGCTGTCGACGAGGTTCTTCATCCAATGCAATCTCCACGCGGACTCCAACAAGACCGAATGCAATAGGTACTGCCTCGACTGCACCAACGGCGCCCTCTGCTCGCTCTGCCTCGCCCATCACCACGGCCACCGCACCACCCAGGTCCGTTCCTTCTCCTGCCATCAGAATGGCGGCTTATTTGCGGATTCGATCCGATGGGTTGCTACTCTGTTCCTTCTTACCGGTGAAGGTGGCACCTTTCCGCAGTGGTTCTTCCGCTCAAAATGCTATCTTGTATTACCGACGATCAATCGCTACTACTAATCTTTCTCTACCTGACGAGAGAAACCGGTGGCTTTGATTGCCCGTCTGATGACCGGTGATTCGGTGATGCAGATACGGCGATCGTCCTACCACGACGTGATCCGCGTTTCCGAGATCCAGAAGGTGTTGGACATCACCGGCGTGCAGACGTACATCATCAACAGCGCCCGCGTGGTGTTCCTGAACGAGCGTCCCCAGCTGAGGCCCGGCAAGGGAGTCACCAACACCTGCGAGGTCTGCGAGCGGAGCCTCCTCGACTCCTTCCGCTTCTGCTCCCTCGGCTGCAAGGTCCATCCTCTCTCTCTCTCTCTCTCTCCATCGGATTACATATCCCTCGGCCTCCATCATGGAGTATTGCGACTAACTGTTTGTCGGAACGGTTCCTTCAGAGAGCCGGCACAGCCAACGATCACAGCAAGAAGAAGTCAATGAAGCAGAAAGCAATGGCGGCGGCGGCACCTTCGGACTCGGAAGAGTCGTACGCTAGCAGCCGCGGGAGCGAGAAGAGCAACGTGAGTCAGGGCTTCACCCCATCCACCCCGCCGCCGGCCGGCACCCGGAGCGCCAAAAGGAGGAAGGGCATTCCCCACAGGGCCCCCTTTGGTAGCCTCCTGTTGGAATTCTAGGTCGCGCTCATCACCACTAGCTATAGTGTCATCGCTACCAAGTCAACCACTCCTATCTACCAACACAGCAAGCCTCATGATAGCAGCTGAGGATCACCCGTTCTCCTGGAGGTCGGCCTACCTTATGCTCACGCATACGGTATTACTTACTAGTGGCAAGTCGTTCATGTACTACTACTTTCCGGTGACTGTGTCATTTTACGATATGATGGATGATGATGCATGGGAGGGTACTCCTTGTCCCAAAGTTTTGTGATGATATATATAGTTCGTGTACAAAGGATAGGAATGTGTACTAAAATTACTCGAAGTCGAGCAGAGCAAACGTGCATATGACCGCGACGATGTGGAGAATTCTATGCTGTGATAGGAAATGTTGTTGATGGGGGTATTGGATTTGACGACAAGCAGAATAACTTGCTGTGCTCGTGGCGTCGTCCCGTGACTCTCCCGTGGACATGTCCGCCATTGCCATCCCCGCCTCCGAGAGGGGTTGCGTGTATCTGCCGCGGCGGGTGCACGTGGCGACGTCGCATCGGACGCTCCTCGCGTGAGGACCCATCGCCACTCGTTGATGTGGTTCTCTCTGCCCACCGGTCCGCCGCCCCCCAAGTGGACTTCTTGATTGGGCGGTCCCGCCGTGACCGACCCCCTTGGGATCAGCAGTCGACGGCTAGTTCGGAAATGATGTCACACGTTCACAGTGTAAAGATTCTCGTTTTTCATCACGTTGCTTCCATGCTTATCACCAACACATAATAATAATATATTGTGATACAGAACATGGATCTCATCACGCATATGAATCCCGCCGGGTGGGGGCCTCCGGAACACTCCCTCCTCCGTCAGCTCCCTCCGACGCGAGCTGTCATCGGTTTGCTAGATCAACGCCAGAAGGAACACGCTTTCCAGGGAAGTGGAAGCCGGGAGGGCCCGATGCTGTTCTTGTTCTCCTTTTATGTGTGGTAGCACAAAGTCTCCCAACCTACTTTACTGTTTACATCGGCACACGAGGTCTCGTATTGACGCCAAATCATATCTAATCATAAGTTCAACTTGCAAGAGCTGCAGAAGCCAATTTGAGGTCGTAAATTACAACACCGAGAAGGCTTGTGGCAGTGGGTGGACAAGTGTTTCCCAGGGAAACGGATCACTGCTCTGCCGACTGCGTTGTGTCGTTCTCCCGATTCGTTCACACCAATTTAGGATGGAGTAGCGAGCATCTTTGCCTGTACCTCTCGTGTGGGCACCACTAGAGTACTTGGTGGGAGGTTGGCAGAGCACCGATGCCCAAATAACCTCGGTGAAGGTGACACCATCTCCACTAGCTTCCTTCATGCGCCAAGCCACCATGCCTTGCTTCTCCGACTGTCCTCAGCCATGGTCTACCGGGACGAAGGTCCCTGCCCACCAGGTGTTTGCTGGTGTTCCCTGGCCCAGCTTTGACATCTTCTGCACACTTCCCAGCCTTACAATTGCATGTTGACAAGGACTCATTTGGATATCCGGCAAATCCAACATAGGAATCCCAGTCGTACACGCTACCTTTGACTCGGACTCCCCTATCAGATGCAGGGGTGGGTTCCATCAATAGCTCGAAAGCGGCCTTCCAACGCCCAATGTTTCTCACCGGAAGGTATATCCAGTCATCCTTTTCCTGCTCGTCAGATATAGCTGCCTGAGTTGTGGACGAAGTCTTGGAATGGGCTTTTAGTCTTTGTGCCAAGCTTATATGGAACTACAAGCATCGAATTCACCGGGAGAGTGTGTTCGTACCAGCTTGGAATGGGCTTTTACTCTTGTATTAAGCTTTTATGGAACTACGGGCATCGAATTCACTGGGAGTGTGTTCATGCCAGCTTTCAAACCATAAACTCCATTCATTCCGATTAGAAAATTATTTTTGATTAATCATATATTATTACCATGTAACACCCAAAAAATAAGAGAAGGTAATTTTTTTTTATCATTTATGATGAGAAAGATAATAAATTTTTTTTTTCATATTATTTACGATCATGTATAAAAGTTTTTCTTTGACAAAGAGAAAATAAAACTTCTTTTGATTATTCTTGTCTACACTTATGAGTTACTAACGTGAACGCCAGAGGGATTATATCAAAAAATCTCTTTCAACCTCGATCTTCATGTAAGTGACACTTAAGGAGTTTGAAGTTTCCACCTTAGATATATCTCAAACAATCCTACGCATATGGGTTTAAACCATGTCGGGTTAATTAAGACGTTAACGATATTTTTTTCTCCTAACATTTTTTATGCTAGAATAAAGGTCCAATTTTGTAAGAACGAATGCCCAAGGGAGGAGGCTCCGCCTCCAATCTATAACTCAAGGGCCACATTGGACATGGACGCATCAACCTCCACACAAGCGTCGATACAATATTTGCATCTATTCAATAACCCAAGGGCGACGTTGAGTCACCTACTCATACCCACTGAGGTATTCCTGAACTTCACCCAACAAGTATAAATGCTAATGAGTATGATACAAGCTATAGCTCCGCTCTTGCCCCAATTAACCCAACAGGCAACATCATTGCCTCAACTATAGTCAACAATTCAATCGACACTAGCATCAACACCCATTGAGATTCTCCCACCCGACGCAATACCAATATCTTAAGATCACACGAGGCCCTCGAGCCACCGGTCGAGCAAATACCTTGTTCCCCAACTAGAAATTCAATAAGCCCCTATACCACCATCTTGTTCCACATGAATCCTAAACTTAATCGTTAGATTCGACAAATGATTCCTTGAGAATTCAACTATGATAAATAAATCAATGTTTAGAAGAATTACGATGAGATTCTAATACTCTGTAGTGGAAGGGTCAATCAACCCCACCTCAAGTTGGTCATCATTCACCAACAACATCTAGGAGGAGCCTGATCAATTTTTGTCTTCCATCATTAGAAGCCTTCGACGGTAATACTAACTTGCTCGAGCATATCATTGCTTTCTACGCTCAAATGTCATTATATGGTATTTTTGATGCCTTAATGTGATATGCCTTCCTATCTATATTAAAAGGCTTGGCATGTGAATGGTACACCCATCTGAAATCGCTCTATATCAATTTCTTCATTCAGCTCACTAGGGAATTTGAGTTTTATTTTCTCGGGAATATATACTTGAAATCATCGACGATAATGCTTCTTGGACTTAGATATGGGAAGGAGGAGACGCTCTCGGATTTCATCGCTCGATTCACCTACTAGATCCGAGGCATGTAAGATGTACACACATCACTTATCATACAAACCTTCATGATGAGACTTAAGCCATGTTGTCTTTTTTTATCATTGGTAGAGAGGCCATCGATAATGATACCCAAAGTACTCTAACGAGCCTATCAATACATCGTGACTAAGGTAATAGTCTCGGATAAACACAAAGAGATATGCAAAAGGTCGAGATGGATCAGCTATAATCTTCGGCAATCCCATGGCTACCACGACAACAAAGAAATGATAAACCCGAATTGCCTTGCTTGAGGCTCGAGTTAACCCCCTTGAATATGATCAAAACTAAACTCTTTTTACATATAAAAGAGATAAGACTCTTAAAAACCCTTAATCGATAATGACTCCATTAGAAAAGAGAGATAGATCCAAGTGCTATCACTTCCATCGAGATTATGGCTATGACATGAAAGGTTTTCATGACTTAAAATAACAGATTAAAAGAACTTTTTGAGTTACTTCTCCTATTCTCCTCCCCTTCTCATCCTCAGATAGCAGGCTTGGAGTTTTGAAGAGCATCGTCGCAACCCTACTATATGGATCACCACTAGAGAAGATGACACTTGACCTCCTTCACCCTCTCCCAGATATCTGCAGGGATTTAAGGATATACGATCTTCCTAATTAACACAATCTTTCATATATGTAGTTTTAAGTTTCACGATTTTTACACACTAATCTTCACATGACGATGAACACATATTTGAGAAATTATAGATTTTATTTTTTAATGTTCTTCCGCTGCGTATGTGATGTCGCTATCAGATTTCCCTATAGTGAGCCTCCCAGACAATACCTAAAATCATTTTGGGAGAATTATCATTCAGCTTAGCCTTTAGTTCTAAGATTATCTTACTACTTAAGATAGTCTTTCCAACACTTTAGGTCAAAAGCTTTAATAAGAAAACTTTTGAAGAAAGACTTTATGTTGGGTTTGACCTAATCAATGAATCCTGAGCATAAGCACATCTAAAAGTATTGAAATATAAAAAGGCAGTAATCAAATTATATAACTAAAATATTTTCTCTCGAGGAATTAGATTAAGGAATTTGGTGCTTTGAAAAATTGAGGCCAGCAACTCGATCAGCTCTTGGGGAAATCTGATGCCAAACTTGAAAGGGTCATATCAAATAACCGAGGTTCTCTGAAATGGAATGTATCATCTCGGCAAAAAAGAAGGTACGACGCTACTAAGAATGTGACATATTACGAACTTAAAAAAAATTTATCCTTAAGGCTGCTTTCGAGATTAGGTCGGGGATAACTTTATCCTAAAGAATAGGCATCGATCTATAAAGCCCAAGACATTAGCGATAGAGTGTATCTTCAAGATACAATCATTGTAAATTAAGAAAAAGAAACTTTATTGCTTAAGAAAAATTATATCAATTTAATTGGGCCTCTACATTTCTAATGAGACCCCAGCCTATTAAAATAAAAGACTAATGGGGCACACACGTCCAACATAAGACCGAACGAACAAATTGGGAACACTAACCGAGGGCTCTAAAACAAAGGACCAACCCAATAAAATATGATAACTTAAGTGATTGGATAAGACAATGTGTCGAGACCATCATTAAAGAGCACCTTGGTCACCATCGAGACATTTTGATCCTTAGGGCAATTAGTAAATAGGTCCTGGTCAAACTCCAGCTTAGGATACCTCACCTTGAAATAAGCCAAAGTGATTTCATACCTAAAATGGTATGAGATGATTCATATCCTCCCTAAACCCTTTTTAAACTAGGTCGCTGCTTTGTAATTGATGATTGTTTCCTCCCAATATTTTGGTATCATACACTTCTCAGCCTCCAATGCATCTTTCAGTTCTCAAGCTAGCTCATAGTTGTGAGTCTTTATCTAATTCAACTCCCGAGTAAGTTGTAGCAAATCATCCTCTATAGTTTGGTTATTGCTCTCGACTTTCTTTAGTTGCTTAGCAAGATTGGCATGGTGCAGCTCAGCTTCCTCAAGTTCTTATGCCAACTCCA